GAGGAGTCGTCGAGCGTGGTAAAGGCTGTCAATCAGGCGGTCCATCAACATCAGGTCCCGGCGCAACTGGTAAAGGAGGTTGTATGCTCGGTGGTCCTGGAAATATGTTTGGTCTGGCATGGGTTCTGCGTGGAGTGGGTGGCGGCGGATGTGTTGGTTGATCATGAAAAGGAGGTCCATTGAACTGTTGAGAGATTGGAAGTCCGGTTGAGTGTGAATGGAGGGTCGGAGCCAGCTAGGAGGTCGCCCTGGCAAGAAGTAGTCCGTGTCTGTGTTGCTGGCTGGTGTGCGATCGCGAGAGGCGGCCATGGAGGCGAGTAGGACGGCTCGGTGCAAGGTGTCACACAAAAGCTGCGGAACTGTAGTGAGCCTTGCAGGAAGTAGAAAGTATGTGGAGGACCGTAGCTGCAATAAGAGCTTGAAATAAGGATCATAAAGTCAAGTGAAACCGCAAAAAGAGGTGCAAAATGGAATCGGATGTGCAGGAACGCAAACTACGACATGTAAAGCTGTTGAATTTGTCATGCGGCACGCCGGGGAAAGTGGGTGAAACTGATCAAATGAAATAGCTGCCAATAGGCGTGTTTGGAGATCGCTCCGGATGCCTGTTCTCACTGGGCGCTCACTCAGCAGCCGGCTGCAGTGGCAAAGCTTCTTTTGGTGATTCTTCTGGTGGAGTTCGAGGTGTTGTCATAGGGGAGGAGGAGAAGTCAGGTTGTGAGGGCTGTGGTGGTGAATGGGCCGGTGATGTAGGAGTAGGTGAAATGTGGGTGGGAGAAGAAAGTAACGGCTGTGTCGAGAGTGTGGACCTCTCGGGATCTGCGGTTGGTGGCGTGGGGTGAGGCGGTTTATTGTCTTGTATCTGCTGTAAGTCTTTGAGTTCTTTCCACCGGGCTTGGCACTGCTCGACGGAGAAACCAACTCTTCGGGCGACAAAAATCCAATTGGGGCGAAGTCTGGGATTGCCTTTGAGCTCCACTAGGCGACAATCTGCTTCGCCATCCCAGGTATCCCAATCTGCATGTGGGTTGAGTGGTGGTGGTGGTGGTGGTGGTTGCTTGCGTTTGCGAGCCGGTGCGGGTTGTGGAGGAGGGGAAGGTGAAGGTGTGTCATCTGAGTTGTTGGAGGGCGGTGGTGGTGGGCGAACTCGTGGTCTGGATGGTGCAGAGTCACAGGAGGAGGTGGGGGAGGGTAAGTTGATGGAGTATGTTGGTGGTGGTGGTGGTAGCTGTTGGAAATGTTGGCGGAAAGTGGGATCCGCCTGGCGGATGTGGTGTAAAAAGCGAGTGTGGAGGTGTGCCATAATGTCTGTTGCTTGTCGTAGAAGGTTGTGAATCTGTGAGAGCGCCACTGTCGTTTGATGTAATAGAGCATTGGTGTCGTCGTGTGGAGGTGAGTTGGTGCTGCTCATGGTATATGGAGGGACAGCTATGTCAATCGGTTGGAGCTCGTCACACTTTGCGGCTGCGGCGCGGCGGGGCGGCTGCACGGCAGCTGGCCAGCGACAGCGCGTCATCACGGAAGCATGCAGTCGAATTAATCAAGCGGAAACGGGCCAAAATGTCAGGAAAAATGCATCACGATAAGAGAAGCAACGAAGCTGCTAGACACATCTCATGTTGAAAAGAAAGTCCGGTTGTCATGGTGAAAAACACACAGCAAAGTCCTGCAATATAGAACCTTGAAAACTTGAGAAAGCTGCGCAAACGCAAGGGTTGTTTTTTGCTGCTGTGGACGAAGGTGAGAGTGTGGTTGGGTGAGACAAAAAGTGGAAGTGGTGGTTGCTGGGAGATGGTTGGTGGTAGTGTCATAGGTCCGGTGGAGTGGAGTTGATGGACCATGCCAGTCCTTTGACAATGGCATGGTCAGGGTGGATGACCCAGCATCTGCCTTTCTGGTGAAAGACGGCTCCGTGGTGTTCGTTGAGTAGGGTCATGGCTTGTTCTTCGCCGCCGGAAGTGTATTTGGTGGCGGCGCCCCAGGCGAGGAGCGTGACGATGAGTGAGTGGGTGTTTTTGTGGAGTTGCCAGGTGTTGTGGATGATGCGAGCAAACTCGCCTTGGTCGTGGGGTTGATTGTGGGTGATGCGAACGCCCTGAGCAAAAAAGCCAGGGTAGTTGGCAAAGTGGAGTGTGCTGGGTAGGAAGCGGCCTTGGCGTAAAATGTTGGCGATGTTGCCGACAGGGCCTGTGTGGCCTGCGTTGATGTGGGCAACTTCTCTGTGGGTGGAAGTGGCACGGGAAACGGGTGGTGGTTCAGGAGTGGTGGCTTTGGTGTTGAGGTAAGGTAGTGAGATGGCGTTGTATTGGAACTGATCCCACTGGTTGGTGGTTTCATTCCCCTTGACATGAGTGTATTGTCGAAAGTCGGCGATGTCTTTGTAAGTGATCTTGCAGTCGAAAAGTAGATTGGCTATGTATTGGTGTTGGGGTCGGTTGGAGGAGTCGAGCTGGTTGGCATGAAAATCAAGCCAGTCGAGGAGTTGTTCTTTTGGTGATAGAGCTGGAAAATTTAGTGGAGGTCGCCAGCGGTTGGGTGGTCGACGAATCAGTGGTGTGAGTGGATATTTGGAGGTGTCGGTGTTGGTGTTGTCTGCTGTGGAGGCATCTGTGTTGGGTCGCAGGTCGATTGGCTGTCTGGAGCGGCTGCGGGAAGGTGTGGGGCTGTAGGAGTAGTGGATGTGGATGGCGAACGGTGTCGCCGGGAGGAGCTGTGGTGTTTGGAGTGGCGATGATGTCGGCGCCGGCGGCGGTGTCGATGGCGGCCGCTGCGGTGATGATCTGACTTTCGCCGGCTTTTGTGATGGTGGCGGCGACTGCTGTGGGGTGGGTGGGGGGACGGTGGTGCTGGTGAAGCGGTGTTGTCTGGTTTGTCTGTCGTGGGTTCTGGAGCCGCTGTAGCCGGTGGGGCTGATGCGATGGATGGTGATGGAGAGGGTTGTGATCCGGTGGCTGTGGTGGCAATGTTGGGAGCTGGAAATGTGGGATCCATTGGTGCCGGTTGTTGGTGTGGTGGCGGAACTTGTGGTGAGTCACTGATGGCTAGTTGGGGTTGTGATGGCGGTGGAGGCAAAGGTTGTGTAACTGGGGGAAAGGCTGAATAAGGTTGCCAGACCCCTTGGGGCATGTGCCACTGGGGTTCTGTTGGAGGGTGAGCTGGAGGTGCTTGCTGAGGTGCGGGAAGCGACTGGATCGGTGTGGTGTTGGTGGGATCGGTAGGTGGTGTGTGGTGCAATTGCTGAACAAGGTAGGAGGGGGGAGGTGCCGGTGATGGAAAGGTGGGTGGTGGCTGTGTGGGTTGTGGTTGAGGTTGAGGAGGATGCACAAGCGTCCAGGCGGAGGGATTGCCATAGGGCATTGTGGTTGGAGTTGGAATTGTCATAGGTGGTGGAGCTGGAAATGCTTGATGCTGTGGTACAGGGTATGTCGAGGGTTGTGGGTAAGGAAAGGCTGGTGCAGTGTGTGGCTGTGGCAGCGGTACTGTCGGTTGTGTTGGTGCAATGGGTAGTGGCGGTGGTGTGGCATGTGAGTATGGCCAAGGATACTGCATGAAGTTTGCGATGAAAGTTGGTGAAAAGTCGTCACAGCTGTGCAGCAAAGTCGTCTCAATGGCGGCAGCGACAGCGCGGCGCGGCAGCGGAGACTGTAAATGGTGTAGTCTGTCACGGTGGAGATCGCACTGCTCTTGTTGAGGATAAGTGTGCATTGTTGTAGAGCTGTGAAAGTTGGCTTGATGTGGAATGCAGTATGTAATGTATTGGTGTGTTCATGCATATCGAATTAAATCTGGAAGCTCAGGTCTGCTAGCTTGAGTTCTTCATGCGGAAAAGTCACGCCAAGAATGCAAAACTGTAGAACGCTACAGAGTCTGTTGGAAAATCAGTTCCCGTGGTGAGGCTCGGCAGCCTTTGTGGCAGTTAATTCAGTGGTTGTGTCAGAGACTTCCGGTGGAATTCCTGTGAAAAGTGGTGAGGTCAGTTAGTGCTTGCGCGATGAGACAGCGCCCCAATGACGGGGATCACACTCAGCACCCGAGTGGGACGGCTGAGCGAAACACACTTCGACAATTGTATTCAGTTATCTCGATTCCCACGATGGGAAAGATGGCGAAGAACCGCAAGGTGAAAGAGTCAGCTGAAACAGTATGGTTGAACATGGTTTCCAAAGGTGCAAGTCTGCGGTCGGCGGCTGGCTGCAACTCACGATCGGCTGAGAAATGCGGTGGAAAAACCTGTTTGTGGGAGGGTATCGTGAAGAAAGACCATGGAACCAACGAACAGCGGCAGGGCGGACCATTGGAGTCAGTGTGTTGAAAGCAAGTACGCCAGACTGATCAGGTCTGGTATCACGACGACATGGATGGGTCTTCGTTGGCTCGTGCCATCCATGCGTCCACGAGCCCCCTGCGAAAAAGAGTTGGTTGCAAAATTGTGAAAGAGGTGGCGCTGGAGAACCCTTTGCCCAGGGGTGGACACACACACAGACACATTCTTGAGACAAAGGCACGTTCGTTCTATCAGCTACCTCAGCAGGGTCCAAGCATGTGAAATTTCAATTTCAAGGCAGACTCAAACCATTCTAACAACTGTTCTAGTTGCAATAACGGGGCACAGTGGAAAATTGCAGGTCATCATTTGAACAGGTGCACCGAGCTGATCAGGCTCGGTAGCTTCGTTCAGTGCAGTCCCACAACCTTGCTGCGCCCTCCTGCTAAACTCAATGTACTCAAAAAAACAACAGCAAAATTAGATAGCAAACGAAAACGCCAACAAGAAATGACTAGTGTTTCCAAGGTGCCCACACACGCACACACTCAATCACACACACAGACACGCACATGCACACAGACACACAAACACACACACACAGACGCACTCAAAAACCAGAGACTAACTTGCGCCCAGATGATGTTGTTCGTTTTGTCGATCAGTGATTAGACAGGAAGAACATTGGTTGGCACATGTATCAATATGTTGTGATCCTTTTGTCCAGAACCGCCAGGCTTTATCTCTATGATGACATCATGGAAAGAAACAAACGGTGCCTTTTAGCGTACCTAAATGCCGGCCTCCAAGATGTCAGAGGGGCTTCAAAGGCACAACTCAGCTGGTGTTCTTTGGAGAAAAGACAGAAAAAGGTTTGTGTGACTCAAAACATCTCCAACATATCTCAAAGGACAACGGTTGTGATGAACCTGAGTCAAGAAACTAGAAGTACTGTTCCAATCGCACTGGAACTTATGTTTGCGTTTGGGCCGCTTGGGTCCCAGGCACGGCTTGATGTGATCGAGCAGCTGCGTTGGGAGGTTGGTGGCAACCTCAAGTGTTTGTTGGAGGTGTGAGGTTGTTCTAGGTCGTTCTTGTTTTTCCAGACACTTCAGTCAGTTAGTGCTTTCGTTACTTACAGAGATCTAGCATCCAGGTTAGACATGCCAAAGGATCTAGAGTCTAGACCTTTCAGCGATACAATAGAAATGTTGCTTTCCACCTTCACGTAGCCACAGGGGCAGGTAGAAAAGACAGTCTGGATTTCGCTTGGCAGACGACAAGAGAATCAAAGGTAAGAACCACACGAGGGTGGGTATTGTCCATATCGCTGAAATCGCCTGGTCCTTTCAAGGCCGAATGGTGCCTGAAGAGAAGCTGCAAAAGCTCCACGAAGCAGAAAAACAGTGCCTGGCCTCTGATTGAGCAGCTGGTTGGAACAATTTGATTTGCTGAATTCTTAGAAGCCCTGTGATTGTTTTCACATGGTGGAAGCAGTGTTCTTTTCCAAAGCCATGGGATATTTTTGAGACAGTCTTAGGATCATGACAGGTGAGGGGTCGCTTTCGAACACGCATTTTAGGGTCGCCTCCAAACGCGGTGTTCCCTGTCGATTGGAGATCAGATGGCACGTTGGAAGCTGAAACAATTTGTTCATGTTGGCACTTTTTGTATCTTAGGCCCTAGGCCTTAGGCCATCTGTTGCCACCCTTACCCCACCCACCCATTAGATTGTCCGGTGGGCACCCATTCGATTGCCTGGTGATTGTGTCCCTGTTCCTACTCTTCACAGTCTGATCCCTCCCACCCCCCACCCCACCCATCCGATTGGCTGGTGGTCGAAGGAGAATTGGAATGTGTTCTAAAGTGACCCTTGACTGTGTTCCAAAGTGACCCTTAAACATGTGTTCTAAAGGGAACATCACGGTAGACAATGACGCAAGATTTATCCAAAGCCTCATGAAGTGTGGTGTCAAAGGGATGTCTTCAGCCTGGAGTCGCTTCTTGGCGTCAGGTATTTGACCAACTACAATAACAGCCTGGACTGATTGCTGGGTTGGTTGTTGCAAGATGTGCGCAATGAAGGCGTAAAGCATTAGCATCTATCCAGAAGTGAGAAACCACTGGGTTTCAAGTTAGCAATTCTTTGACTCACACTGCAGGACAAGTACATGAAGCGCTATGTACCAAATTGCAAGCACCCTCTGGATCTGACTGCCAACTCAGAGGCGGGACAGCTTTAACTCTCCTTTAACTCTGTTTTGGATGTCGAAATGTGCAGATGCATCTCACATGGATTTTCAAAGTATAGTAAGGGAGCGCAGATTTGTCCGCCTTATGGCATGTAAGTTGCACGCTCCCATGTCCGCATGCACCATGCGGTTCTTGGCGGCAACACAAGGCTCCCGAGGACACCAACATCCAGGTGCGAATGTTGCGAGATGACCCGCAACTGGATGGCATTGTCAGCAATGACAGTGGGCTGCTGCGTTTGCGCCGGGGAACCCAACCGAGAATTCTGCAGAACCTCTTTCTGCTTGTGGCCGGCGCTGGGAGAGGTTGACCATTGCAGTGGTTGTACAGTATGAGAAAATGCTTCAACCAAGTATTGAAAACCATTGGTGTGATTCATGCCTCAATGCCTAAGCGCACTTGTTCCAAGCCTGGGGTGGGCAGGCGGTGGCTGTCAGATGATGGTGAAGCGCAGCGATGTAGAACATCTCTTGCGTAGCGGCAAGGCAAGGTGGTGGCTGGCTGGAGAAATTCCAAACAAAAATGGTTAAATTGGCAACCGTCAAAGGATCTCAAAGGTAACACATCAATAGGGTCAGTCTTCATTCTGACTGCCAGGTGCAGCAGGTTGTGGCCTCAGCAAATGGCTGTGGTGACATTCGTGCACCCTCAAGGACTTGCATTCGTAAAAGTGGATGCACGGCTGAGGTGAAGACCTGTCGGGGGGACGTGGTCGGTGGCGGCTTCTGAGCGGGGGTTGACTGGTGACTTGTGGGACTTGTGTGACTTGTGGCTTGGGCAGATCTGCCGGCTCTGCTGCTCGGCCGCTTGACATGAGGTGCTTAATTTTCTGAAACAAGGAGAGACTCTTATATAGTGGCTCTTAGAAAACAGAGGCTTCACAGCTGGCCCAAGACTCCAAGTCAAAACCAGTCTCGGGAATCACAGCCTGAGGTGGGGAAGTCTCAGTGATGCGACAGCGGGGAACAAACAAGTGCATGAACATGCATGAACTGTTTTGGCGATGTGTCAGCTGAGTCTCAAGTAGAAGGTATCAGCTTGGCTCAAATCAACCCAGAAGAATTCCAGTACCGCCCGCTCAATGCTCTCACTGGCTCAACTACATAGAAACTCCCCAACTACAGCTTGCTGCATTTGCCCTCAGAACTCACAATCGCAGCCAGCCCTGCCCGCGCCCTTCCCGCCGCAGCCCTTCTCAACTTCTCTCCCTTTATTGGGATCACCTAACAGCCTGGACTTTTGACAGGCCACAGTGGAGCAGGCGTCTTGCGAGAGGGCAAAAGCCTCTCAGAGGCTGAGGCATGAACCCAGAACAATGAGATTGCTATTCAGTCACGACAATGCTCGTCAGTGTAAGATTTATGGGTGTTCCAAGCGCACCTTTGAATCAGGGTTAACATTTTTCAGTCTCAACACAAAACATCGTTAGACACAGAAGGCTTTAGTTCTGGCTCCTTTGGCAATCATTTGATCGGTTTTGCCTAAATGCTTGGGTCATCCTTTGGACAATGCAGTGAAACATGGTGATAAAACAATTTTTGGTGCTGGTACCCAAGCTCAGGGTGCTTGCTTGTTATACAAATATATATATATATGTATATATTATACACCTATGATATATACGAACTCTATTCAGCCTCAGGTCGAAAATGCATAGCTTGCTGCAAGTGGCTTTGTGCGGTGGAACCGGGTGTTTCGGATGGCCTTCGAATGTTGTTCAATCATGTAAGGACCGGAGAGGGGACTCATAAAGCAGGCCCCCATCATTTGGTTCTAACTCAATGCCCGGCTTTGGCTGAAAGATCAGACTGGAAATGTTCAAACTTGAAAGTTGTTTCGCTACTTTCACATAACACTGCAGACCGCGCACCTGGTTCCATGCGCAGGGCGGCCTTGTTGCGGAGGGGCGTGGTCTCTCCGCGGTGGCTGGGCATCCCAGGAAGCCAGGAAGTCGGTGACCGTGGCAGTGAATGGTACCCCCTTGCAATGCTCACTCAACGTTTGTTTTTCAAAGGAAATTACAGTGTTTTAGTGATATGTTGGGATCTTTTCCCAAACAGGTTGTTTTGATGACTTTCCACGTTGCGGGTACCACACATATATATATATATATAATGGGCATGGGAAGAAAGAATAAATAAGTCTCCAGTATGTAGAGTGGATTGAGAGGCTGGAGAAAAGTACGCCGTAGTACTGTACGTGTACTTTCTAGATTGAAGGTTGAAGATTCTGCCAGGACTTTCGGTGAATCTTCAATCTTCAATCTTCGATCCAGAAAGTACGCGTACTATGGCGTACTTTTCTCTTTCCAGTGCTTTCCAAGTCAGTTCAATTGCCAGAGTCTCGCATCTGGACTTTCTTTCCGTATCAGCTTGCCATTCTAAGTATCGAGAGTACGTTGTTGACTGTAGTCTCATGGCATCTGCGCTGCCCTCTATGAATGTCAAGGGACAGGTGCACTTCGATGGGCGTGCCATGGTTCTAGAACCGGAGGTCACAGTGACCATGACACAATGCAACAACGAGCGAAATCCTTGCCAAGGCTCCGTGTCCTGTTGTGTGTGTGTGTGTGCCCCTGCACTTCGACCGAAAACAAGCTGTGACATGATAACAGATAACAAAACGGTCAATATAATAGAAGCAGTTGCTGTCAATGACTTTGTTGTCTGGCATTGTGACAGTTGCAGCCATTTGTTGTAAATATCATTGTCAGGCAGAGGTCTACCCTACTGTTTGCTTGATGGCACCCAAGCTCAACCCTGGTGCGAAGATGCTGCTGAAAAGGATGTCTGCTGTGTTCCACTGCCACAAGGTATCAACTTGTAGATCAGCTAGCGTCATTGGAAAATAGCAAGCCCTGCTTTTCACTCGTCAATGCAACTCAACCATTCCACAAAAGCATCTGCAATCCATCATTCAACATCAGCCACCCGTCAGTCACGGTCGGTCTGTCATTCTCAACGCAACAGGTGGTATTGGTGAGGGTAGCATATATATATATACATACACGGAAAACTAGTGGAGAAAAGAAAAGCACTTCTTGTGGGGGGCAGCAAGTGGTAGTAAAGCTTAAGACCTAAGCAACCTCAGCTTGCTTTGCTTAGCAAAGATGTGTTGGGACGGGATCCATGGACTTTGGCATGTTTTCGGTGGTTCAAGCAGAAGTTTTAAATTGCACAGCTGTTCTTCTATCGTTTTGCATGAACGGACTCTTTCCTGCACACACCTCCCGCTTCTTACCAATCTTCGTCCACCTGAGAATGCTGTGCGCAGCGCCAGGGATTCAAAGTACCCCGCCAGTGAGGCCGGGGAAACGGGGGAAATTTTCTTTGTCATAATATATATGTGCTCTGGACGCCAGACGCGTTCCAGTTTCTTTGCGCAACTCCGAATGCTGAAAACAATGCTGGTCTTGTTTTGTTGAGAGGGAGGCAGAGACTTCCTTCCCACCCAAAAGAATCATTATTCTTGCTATTGTTCTGTATCAGACATGATGTCTTGTATTTTTCAACACAAGCAGAAACATTTCGGCAACGCAACTTCCAACAAAGCTGAACTGCATGATGGATTTTAATTTTTGGCAAAAGATCCCACTGGCCAATTCTCGACATGGCAGGAGATCCTTCAGAGGCGCGGCAGCTAGACTACTGCAATGCGCACAGCAGAGTAAAAGAAAAAGGTGGACATGACAGAAAGGACCCCCATCAAAATCTCCTCAGTGCTGATAAGCTAAGCTGAAGGCGTAGTCCCCAGCCTAGCTGCAGGGAGCCTCAGCATTTAGAACTCATGTTTTCATTCTTTTCAAACTTAGACATATGAGCAACGCTCGACCCAGCGATGATCTATTATAGTAAAGAACTTCACACGATACTGAAGTGCTAAGCTATACTCCAACCATGTCATCACAATTTTCGACACGCTCAGCTGCATCAAAAAATGCTAGTGGGGGCCGAAAGCGCAACAGGTCTCCCTCCAATGTGATTACCTATATAGTTGTTAATGTCCTCCTTGTTATGGCAGACACTCATAGACTCATATCATTTCACCAGTTCTTGCTTGCGCTCTCAACTACTGCATACAGCAAGTGAACTAAATGGGTATGGGTATCGAAGAAAACCGTCGACCATGACAGCACGTCCAGCTTCACGCTTGAGGTTACACTCCGCTCTCGGCCCGCACGCCGACACCGGGCCTGAGCCACCAGAGTGTTCCAAGATTGAACCCTGCAAGCAAACAAGCATGATTGGTATGGATGCGTCTTCCAGTCAATAAAGAAAAAGACAGCATGCCTGGTCATTTGCATCCTGTAATGCTATAATGCTAGATCTTGAAAGTCCTGTCACATGATTGTTTCCATCCAGCCTCATGTCCCTTGGACAGATTTTGCAGTTTGTCGGTTCTAGGCCGAGGATCGCCAGCACCCAGCATGGCTTCCAGGCAATCAATGTAAAATCGATCTGATCGGGGGTTTGTCCTTTGTTGCACCCTACTTTTGTGCAAATCTGCGAATACCTGCTTAAATAAATGGTTTGGCACGGTATACCGGGTGGTGCTCTGGTTCAGAGGCATAGACCTTTGGTTTGCATCGGGTTGTGGTGGACTTGCTTTTTCATATTATACAGTGAGTGCACAACATGACACAAATGCATGTAGATTGATCTGGGACATCAGCAGAAACTCTGAGCCGTTTGATGCTGTTTCGCTCAGCTTGTATTGTCATTGAGGCCGGCCTCCAGATGCGCCTGTGTGAGTCACTGATATATTGATGGAAGAGTGACACAGAAGATGCCTTTCAGAAAGGACTTGCTTGCCGGAGATGGACTTGCTTGAAACCAAGACACTGAGGTGCCTGCAATCTTCCCATTTCCAGAGCCCATCCCGCATGAAGTGCCCCGGAGGTCCGAACGCAAGCCGCAGATGTTTCTGACGACTTGGGCTTTGAACGAAGAAACATCGAACGTTTTGAATATTGTCAAGTTGTCAACTTGTCCTGCTGTTTTCCACGTGGAGTTTCTGACAATTTCATGGGTTGTTTGAGGCGCCGTGCAGGAACACCTCCCGCTTGGGCCGAAGAGCACTTTGATCTCAGATCTGGAGCATCAAACCACATATAATATAATAAAACATAATGAAACCATTCTTTTCAGCGGAGACCAGAGGACCAGTCGGTTTCATCAACAGCAAACAAAAGCAACTTAAAGAGGGCCTCATAAGATTTGGCAGACGATGGATTTGAAGACTGGAGCTGCAAAATGTCATGACAGCGACTGCGCTCTTCCCCCAATTCGGGTGTAAGCCACTCAGGCTGAGAGGCCACGGGCGACTGGGAGGAATTGAGTTTGAACTGCTGTAGTGCAGAAATCTTTAGAAGGTTTTAGAAGCCTTATGACTAGCGGCACTTGAGACCTTTGGGTGAGCACAGCAGCTGTCCGGCTGGTGTCTTGTCTCCACTTCTCCTTTGCGACATGGTTACACAGTCGGACTTCATCAGGGAAGATACAGGGAAAGTGCATCGGCATTGAAATTCAGCAGGCATACGCAGTTTGTTGACTTCGCCTGCCTGTTGTCTTCCGCCGTTTTGGAGTCTTATGCGTTGTTTCCAGTGCGTTCATCCAGGAAGAATGGCTCTGGCCATAGTGATGATCCAGGCAGGGTGACTTGAAGTTCTTTGCAACCTTGTCAGAGCAAAACACCTTCTCCACAACCCTGTCAGAGAAACATGGTTCTTTTGGTTTGGCGTGACTCTTGCTTTTCCCCAGCGGAGGTGTGTATATAGATGGTGCAGTTTTGAGTTTTGAATGCTGGCTGCCTTGAAGAGCCCTCTATGAATTGGTTGGTGCACATAGGACAGTTTGAGCATCTTCGAAGTGGTGTTTGAGCAGTGGAAAGCTCTCTCAGATTCATTGGACGATTCTGAAAGAGTCGTCCTTGATTGCAAGCTGCCGCAGCCATGAGCTTCTTTTATACAATATACAATGAAGGGCAATAGCAAGCAACTCCTCCTGCTGCTGGCATGTTTCCACCCAGCGGCGGGAAATTGTTCGGGCTCAAGCATCCATTGCTCTGGCTACTTGGATGTCAAAGACACTTGTATTGTAGTGAAGACATCCTTGTTCTCTCCAACAGCTTGAAAGCATTGTTACCATCTGGGCACATTTTGGCAGTGTTCGTTCCGCTCTCCAAGGCGAAAGTACAAAGAGCGACTGTGAGTTTTGGACTGGCTGTACGTGGTCCTCCGGAAGTTCGGGCGGTTCGGGCAGTTCCGGTGGTTCCAGCGGAAGTTGCACTGGAGGAATGATATGTCAAGGCATTTTTGGAGATCAGTGCTTCAACCAAGGTTGTCAATGTCACCGGACTTTGGGACGAAACAGAAAGGGTGCGATTTGAAGCCGGTACCGCCTGGAAAGAAGTCTTACACAGAATCAGTGCCATCAGTTCACATTTACACACATATATATATATATATTTATGTACATCTTCTTCTCCACCCAACTCGTAGCACTAGCTAGACGCAAAGCGTGCTGCGTTGTGTGCTCTGCTGTCGCAAGGCCAGATCCACTACTGCAGCAGTGGTCCAACCTAGCGCCTCACGATGTTTTGCAGAATCTCCCTGCGGCCAAGTACCAACAGCCAACATATTGACTACGATAGTGACAAACAGCAATTGACCAGCCACAATGACACTGGCAATGAACTATTGCGAGAACAACAGCAGCCCGCACTGTCAACAAGCACCTTCTTTGTTTGTCCATCATGGGGTATAAATATATAAAAGACTTGAGCCCTGCAGCTGACCTTGGACCCCCCCAAAGCAACCACTTGCAAGTACTAGTAATGTTGCTAGCAGTGTTCGTAGTGGTGGTGGTGGTGGTGGTGGTGGTGGTGGTGCAGGTCGTGGTAGTAGGAGTAGCAGTCGCAGTTGCAGTAGCAGTAGAAAACAAAAATGATGATAACAGTAATGGTGGTAGTAGTAGTAGTTGTTGTAGTAGTAGTAGCAGCAGCAGTAGCAGTAGCAGTAGCAGTAGCACTAGCAGTAGTAGTAGTAGTAGTAGTAGTAGCAGTATCAGTCGTAGTCGTAGTCGTAGTCGTAGTCGTAGTCGTAGTCGTAGTCGTAGTAGTAGTAGTAGTAGTAGTACTGAGAAGGCCGTGCTTTTATAACTATGCTTATGGCGGTTATACTTATAAGTATCATGACTGTTATAAGTCTTCTTATATATATATATAAGAAGTATAAGTCTTATAAGTATAGCCATAACTATAATCTATAAGTATAGTTCTTTAAAAAGCATGGGCTCGTATCGGAAACCAGCATTTCTATCTGTATATGAGCACGAACCACGTGCAGCACGAGTGACACTTTCAGTGGACGCAGTCGAAGAAGCAACCTCTCCTTCCAAAACTGGGCCAGAACCAATCTGTTTTCGATCGACCTGCCACGTGTGAGTCTCAGAGGTGAGACGCCACTGGCTACCCCACACAGGCTGCGCGCACCGCTGCAGCGTGTCCATGCGTATAGCCACCTCCACGCAGCACTCGCGTAGCGCTTCTCGCAGTGCGCAGCCACCTTTGTAGCAGTCCCGTTTTTTTAAGTGACACCTTTCCTGAAGCTGACGTGGAGTCCCATGCGCCGTGTAGACCCCACCTCTCCTTGAGTCCCGTAGGTGACCGTCCTCCTTCCACGCCAGCAAGAGGGGGGAGTGGACAAATTCATTGCACACGGGGCCACGGTATTTTGCCGGTTCAGTTGACCCAGTTGACTCCAGTTGACCCAGTAGTAGAAGTAGTAGTAGTCAACTGGGTCAACTGGGTCCGGAGATTCAAGCGTGCCACCGGGTCACCACTACCACCACCACGACGATAGTAGTAGTAGTAGTCGTCGTCGTCGTGGTGGTGGTGGTGGTGGTGGTGGTGGTAGTGGCGGTGGTGGCAGTGGCAGTGGACCCAGTTGACCCGGTGGTCATGCTAAATCTCCGGACCTAGTTGAGGTCAATTGGGTGAACTGGGTCCTGGGTCAACTAGGACCACACATTTAGCGGCCCCCCTATGCCGACGCACTCGACAAATTGTATTGTGGGGGCAGACTGCTTGAAAAGGCGCGAGACCCTGCGAGACCTTCGCGAGACATCCCTGCAAACAACCTTTCTTTCCTTGCGGAAGATGACGGTGTACAACGCGAGACGTGCGAGACATCCGCGAGACTGCGCTCGTGGATCGAGACATTGCGAGAAATTCACAGACCGCCGCTACAACGGTCCTGTCAGCTCTATCGCGCTCTCGCCCTGTACTGCCGCAACAGTAGGCCACAGCAGTCCAAAGCCATCTGCCTGTCAGCCGGCGCTCCGGGCGTCTTCCCCTGCTGTGTCTCTTTGTGAGGGGCTTTGCGCCCCACCTCTCACTTGCAAGGGCAATGCCCTTGTCTCTGTGAGGGGCCCTGCCCCGCACATACTCTCGCCCCGCGCGCGAGGGGATGTGCCTCTGCGTGC